ATCTTCCACTGCTTTATGTTACCAAATCAATGTTTTCCACCTCAGTGGGGCTCTTGTTGCATTTGAGGATTTCATTTATCTCCAGCATCACAGCACCTACCCTTCCTCTGATTTTCCACTGATAGGAAAGCTCTTATCTTTCCTATGATTCACCAGCACAAGTGAGATTTTTTCCCAGATTGTAGAAGAAACTTGTGGGGTTTTTTTTCTTTGGTTTCCAAGTGCATAACCATAAATGCTGCAGGACTGAATTTCATCCCATTTCACTCCATCCCATCTGGAGTATTGTGTCCAGTTCTGGGCTCCACAGTATAAGAGGGATGTGGAGCTGCTGGAGAGAGGCCAGCGCAGGGCTACAAGGATGATCAGGGGCCTGGAACATCTGCCCTATGAGGAGAGGCTGAGGGAGCTGGGCCTGTTCAGCTGGAGAAGAGAAGGCTGAGAGGGGACCTGAGCAGTGTCTAGAAGTACCTCAAGGGAGGCAGTGAGGAGGATGATGCTGGCCTCTTTTCACTGGTGGCCACCAATAGAACTAGAGGAAATGGCCACACACTGAAACACCCAAAGTTCCACAGGAACTTATTAATAGTGAGGGTGACAGAGCACTGGAACAGGCTGCCCAGAGAGGTTGTGGAGTCTCCTTCTCTGGAGATCTTCAAACCCGCTTGGACGCAGCCCTGTGCCACGTGCTCTAGGTGACCCTGCGTGTGCAGGGGGTTGGACTAGATGAGCTCTAGAGGTCCCTTCCAACCTTAAGCATTCTATGATTCTATGATTCTACGATATCCTGATTTTCATCTCGGTCAGTCACAGCAGCATCAGGAAACTGGCATGAACAGGAAATGTCATCAGCATGCTCCTAAATTCTGTGCAGAGGTCCTGTGTGAAAATGTAAAGACTGTTCACAAGATTGAGCTGTGAGGGACCCTGATGGGGAGCCTTAGAATTGCAGAATCATTATTGTGGGGAAAGACCGAGTCCAACCTTCCTCCATCCCTATTGCTGGGCATGGGGGTTTGCAGCATCAGGTGCCCTGAAACTGCACGCTGGATCCCCCAAGAAGTTGCGAATGTCGTCTGGGTGACCTGGAGTTTCCCGTAAGTGTCCTGCACCCTTCCCTGATTTGGGGTCTCCTTTGCTGAGCTGGACAGTTGGCCATGCAGAGGTAATAGAGATTGCAGAGAAAGATTGCCTGAAGGGCCTTGGGCAGCAGCAGAAAAGCAAGGGGAGAAGCAGGGTCACCCCAGACTTGTCACGGCGGGTGTACGGTCCCAGCGCAGGGCCTGCTGCGCTGCACCTCGTCGTGAACGGATGTAGCGCCGCTCCGGACGCACCACGTCCCCGCGAGGCCCGTAAAGCACCACAAGGCGCCCGCGTGCGGACTGGAAACGGGGCCCGCACCCACGCGGGGGGCAGCCCCACGGACTGGAAACGGGGCCCGCACCCGCACGGGGG